GAGCTGCTTCTCCACAGTCACGATAGCCATAAGTTATGTTTTGGATAATCTTATTCCTTATTTTTAGTACTCGACTCTGGGAAGTGTGGCTTAAAAAAAGGATACATTAAAAGGAAAAAGCAAGAACCAAATGTTCAGTAAAATCTGTCCTCCTGACAGTATTGTTAGACAATTCAGTTAGCTTTGATTTGGCCTTCAGATGTCCACTCTTGCTGGGTTGTGCCTGATGTACTTGGCCATTGAAGGAGTAAAGGAGCAGCAGAGTAGGACCTTCATGGAAGTTTTCCAAGGCAAGTGTCTTCCACTGAAACCTGTAGGAAAGGCAGTGTGGGCAGGGGGTGGGGAGCACTTATGTGAGCCTTGCCAGTTGCCAAAAGTTGCCTGCAAGTTTGCTGTTTCCAAATGTTACCACTTTAATTATCACCCAGGTTATTTCCTCATCTCTCCCTTTTGGGAGAGAAGAAACTCAAACATCCTCTGTGTTTGCAGAAATGCTTGCAACTAATAAAGTTGTATCTTCAGTAAAAGAGGGGTTTGGAATATTGAGATGAACTGGGAAGAAAAGCATGACTCGTTTTGTCTTTTACCTTCAAGGAAAGATTCTGAGCAGTTTCTAAGGAAGCTGGAGCCCAGGTTACGCAGAGCACTTGAGCTGTTTGAGCAGTGATTCATGTGTACCTGTTCTTAGTACTAGTTGCAGTGTGGTAATGAAACACTGATGGCTGAAACAACAGCCCAGAGGTGGAAGTGGTCTTGTCTCACGAGAGGAGCAATCTATAGCTGTGATGGGGTTATTTGACAGTTCACAGGAATCACGTTTCTGAACAGAATGCAGACTGAAGTTTCCTTCAGTGTAGGATGAATGCTGTAGTAGGGTTGACCCAGGGCCCAGGATCTCTGCTATAGTTTTGCATTGGACCTCTCTTAAAAGGAAGTACATAATTCATGCTCAGCAGGAGCAGTCAAGCCCATGACTCATTTGTGCCACTCTGAAATATTAAAACTGCCAGGCCACTTCAATTACAAACCTGGCAGGACATAACCTGATACAGTGAAATACCTACCCGTTATCCAGGCAACGCAAAGAATCCATCACTGCAAAGAATGCTCCCTGTGATTAATGATGGCATTATTGAGATTGTTTCTGGAATTCTTTTGACTACCCAGGAGCAGGAAGAGCTACAGCTGAGTGGGCATTCCACTTACTCGAGAAGTAGGAGAGTTTTCCACCTTTTCCTCAAGGATTTAAGTCTTTCTTTGTGCCTGTGTAAGCACCTGCGACTCTGAAGGGGGGTGGGAGATAAGAGAAACTGGACACATGTATGTTTCTGTAGTAGCGAAGATTAAAGGTGAACTCTAAAACAGAATCTGGGAAGGATCTTGAGGTACTTGAACTGGGGGGGAGATGTGAACAGTGCATTTCATCAGTGCAGTAAAACAGCGTATGTTGTCCTGCAACTTTACTGATTACCCACAAATCTTAAGTGTACTCCATCAAGTCTAATCTAACAGGATTGGTACTTCTGAATTGCTAAAACTCAGATCTTGTTCACAAGCATCCTTTTTAATCTAGCTGGTAGCAACAGCTAGACTTTACATGCTCCTGTGCTTGTGTGTGACTTGGTTTGTTAATGGCCAGTCCAGTAGCATTGTACCCCGAATCCAAATGTTAGGGGTTTGCATTTATGTAGCAGCTCTGTTGAACTCTGTTTGCAGACCAAGCATGTACTTAGGAGTGGACTTAGCCTGGAACTGAATACATGCAAATGGCTCTGTGTTAGCCTGGACTGAACAATCTGAGCATTCCAGCTTGTGTTTCCCTGAAATGAAGTCACTGACTTGAGCAGTCAGGTTAAACAGAAGTTCTTTGGTGTATGTATATTACCTGGGTTCACATGAATTCACCCAGTAATTCATACTGTTTATCTTGCATGCCAAAAAGATGTCAATGAGCATACACTTGTGTACACAGTGATGACCTTTGTAGAAACCCAGCAGGGTTTTTATAACAGTTCCACTGAAATTCCGTGTCAGCCACATCAGCTGGTACAGGCTTGGTAGGATCCCAGCAATACGGCTCCCAGGATGAACAAGGGCACAGAGACCAAGGAAGAGCTGGTGAATTAAGTAGAAGTTCTACTGAAAAGCAGTGGTAATATGTGAAAACACAGGTTTTTCAACTAAATTAGCAAATAAATATGTTTTTCTGTGACACTCGACTCTGTCCTATTGGAACAGAACATTAATCCATTTTGTTCTGTAAGGATATTTAATTTGTCATCTGTTCATAAAGCTTGTGACCAGAACCAGCATGAGGTTTGGGCAGTTGCAGGTCTCTGGCCTGCAGAATGGCAAGACTCAGGTTGCAAGTTAATGTTTTTATGGCTTTGGTTTGATCATAAGGTCAAGTAGTGGTGTTTTCTAAGGTAAATACTGGTGAAGAATGACTGCTTCTGAAAGCAGGGATTTGCAAATCTTCCTGCAATGGTTTAGGCTTCTCTAGATTGTATTTCTCAGTATATTTGATCAATGTAAGCACTTGATTAACTTTTTACCCTACAGTCTGTTGCCTTTATTCTTCCAGTTCACAAGTGGGTTTCTACTCAATTGTGTCTTCATCCAGCTGCTGTCTTGCATCTTTTGTCCACCTCCCCAAGATATAATCCATAGCTTCATCCCGTGCAGCACTGCTTGCAGCCAGTCCTTCCAAATACACCTGTGATTCTTTTTGTCATTCCCTTCAGGTACCATTATGCCACTTTGGAATTTGTCGGAGAGAAGGAAGAGTAGAGGGATCTGGGAAATAACATGCATGTGTGTGGTGGGGTAACAGTAAGGATCACCCTTGCTGCTTTACAGTGAGTAACAGCCTCTGCCTGAGCAGGCTGTGTTGGGGCTGTTTTCATTACGTTCCATTAGGAAAATTTAATGGCCAGGAGCAAGTGTTAAGGTGTTTGGCACCACAATGAACAGCAGAGATCTAAGAGCATTCCCTCACCTGGAATATGAGCCTTTCTGCTATAGACTGGCACACACATGATTTATGCTTGCTTGCAGTCCTAGATAATGCCTCTGCCATGTATGAGAATGGAGCCCATGGAATGTTTTTGTGGCCTCATCCAATGACTGCCATGGTTTTGGTGTTTGGGCTGGTTGGTTGGGGTGTGGGCTGTTTGTTTTTACAGTGTACACCATCCTTAGGGGAGAGATGATCAATAGCTGAGGTATGTAATAACTCCTATAGCACCTTTGCTTGGAGATGACGTTACCCATGCGCGTGGTAGGGAGTGGAATGTGCAATATAATTTGCATATTCCAAATGACTGGCCTCCACCCCAGCTTGAGATAGCAGTAGCTGATGTGGGGCTAGCAGGTACCCAGCCAGCCTCTGCTTCCACTCCTCCCTGCCTTCAGGAGAAGAAACAGTTTATAGCTGGGCACGGTAGAGCCTCCTGCAGACTCCCATGTCCAAGCCATTGCCCTAGCTGGGATTGTTCCATGCTAAACTGCCAGCTGGTCATCTCAGGCACCAAAATAGTCTGGAATTAAAGTACCCCCACACACACTTTCTCCTGTTTCTTCACCACTCAAGCTGGGGAATCCTTACTACAAGCTGTAATAAATCCAATACAGTTTGTTCTTCAACTGCTGGATGTTGTTTTGTGTTTATCTTTAGTAGCTTTGCTTTAGTAAGGGTCTAACTCCAGTCATCACTGAGTATTAACAGTGGAGAAGAGGACATGAGGCTGGCTTCAGGAGGCAAGAATCCTCTGGAATACATAAGTACAGAGAAAAGAACATTGAATGGTAGCTTAATGCCTACGCTGCTGTATCTAGCTATTTCTCCAGCATATTACTGCTTTGATCCTTACTTACAGTTTGCCGATCGACACATTTTATGACGAGATAACATTTTACTTACTTTTTGCATATTGCTCTGACTGGAACTTCTGCTGCTCTGTACATTATTTGCCTAAAAGGTTTGAATTGATATTTTCAGACATGCTGCCATTTAGAAATGTTATCAGAAAGACATGCAATTAAATTTTGACCCCAATTACGTCAGTCCAAAGTTCTCACAGTGGGGTGTGATAAGCAGTTATGGTTCTGCCATACTGAATTTGCTGTGATGGATCATTTTACCACTCAGGATTAACACAAGGCACATCTTGTTTGAGAACCGCTCAGAACCTCAACACATCAGCCTGTTTCCTCTTCTCCTCCCCCTTCCCCTGTCTGACAGCCTTGACAAGCACTAGTGGAGTCAAGCAGAGAGACCTGTTATATCAATAACCAGACTTCATTTATCAATCTCACAACTTCATTTCACTACTGTTTTTTAACCCTCAAGGATGGGGATGCATCCCCCACCTGAACAACATGGGGAGTACCTGCAGCATACTTAACCCTAGGGCACTATGTCCTACTCGAATACGCTGTCAGAGCAGGTTGTGCTCTTCAGTCTCCTCTTGCTCTGGGCTCTTTTGGCCCCAGCTTCCATTGGAAGCCTGAAGGTTATAGAGTGCTAAGAGGTGAAATCTGGGACCTTGGTGAAACTGCATTTCAGGCACTAGGTCAACCACAACCTGGGCCAAGCGGGCTTGACAAGGGTTCATGTGTGTCCAAAGGAACTCAGTGGAACTGGGACTACTGAGGGCAGAGTATTCTTATCAAGGGACAAGGGATAATAGTTTAGTAGACGTTTGAAAGGCCTTTTTCTTTTCCCCTTGCATCACTTTTGTGTAATAAAGGGACCTTCTCTTGTGGTTTTATATTCTTTAATATTTTTTTCCCCTAAAGACACAGTAGATTAATAAATCTAAGCAAAAAGTAGCCTTAAAGTTACGTCTTTATAATGTTGAAACCTTAGGTTTGTTTTCCTCTCCCTTTTTTGTTATGAGACTTAGGCTGAGCAAATCAAGCTATGTAATCCCTTGTGGTCTGGCTGGATTCATCCACACCATTAGGATTGCTTTTCTTAGCCACAGTTAACAATGGAATAATGGCTTTCATAACATTTTATTAAGTTGAAATGCATCAATAGCACTAATGATAAACAATTGTGGTATTTTAGGAAGAACATTTTCCAGCACTCTCTGCACTTGCCAAGCTGTGGAGCTTTTGGGCAGCACTTGACTCTGGCATGAAAACATGGAATATATGTCCTTTACAAACGTGTTTTTGCTATGGCACAGACTTAAGGAAACTGGTCTTGGATGTCTGTGGTAAGCAGTATATAAAAGCATTACTTTGATCTCACTAGATTAAGATTCCTCGTTAACTGATGATGACTGTTGGCTTAGTGCATATTGGGATGAAGTAGCCTAGCTTGGATTTGCTGTGGGGAGGACAAGAGGGGCCTTCCTGTTGATGCCAGTCATACGACATGGCAGTTGTGCAGCCTCCTCCCTTTCTCTCCCTCTGATGCATGTTGGGACTCTTCCTAGCTTGGGAAGTGTCCTGGGTTCAGCAGTAGCAGTTCCTGCTGAACCCAGGACAGGAAGATAACCTTAGCTGGAGTTTCACACTTAAGATGTATGAGGGTTTTCTGGGATTCAGGCGTCTCCTACATGTTTAACTCTGAAGGAGAAAACCAGGCTATCTTTTAATGCCTAAGTGATAATGTTATCTAACTCAGTGGTTACTGTTTAACCAATGCCAACTTTAACTGAACTTCTCCCAAGGAAATGATTAATTGCCATCAACCACAGACACCAGTATTCAGCAGGGATACAGCAATAGTGTGCTTGAGCCATGGAACAAGCTGGTAGTGAGACTGCAGAAGATGTGGGTGAATGTGGCTTAAATGCAAATGATGGTGTGACTTCTCCTTTTGGATTTCCCAGAGCTTGTGCTATTTCTTCAGTTAGCTTCAGGTTGTGCAAAAACTGCATAACCAGCCTGCAGCATGGACATATTTATCATTGCCTTCTTTTGGTAACCCAGTTAAAGAGAGTCTTGAGGAGGCTAAGAAGAGTTGCAAAGCTGTGTTTGGCATCATAAACCAAGGAGGCTGTATGCTGTGCTAAATTGGGGGAAGGAAGATGAAGAATTTTTTGGATAGACCCAAGTCCTGGTCAAACTTCAGTGAATATTGTATTTATTTTACAATACCTACTTCCTAGAAATGCCCAGTGGACCTTGGCTCAGACCTGATCAGTTTGTCCCCAGTTCTTCAGTCAACTCAACTGGGATGGATCTTTGTACTTTGCACAGTGCTGTCTGAAGTTGCCGGAATTCAGCACATGGACAAACAGACTCCCCCACAAAGGTGGCTTTCGTTGTTACATTGGACTCTTTACTTTCTTTTTCAGCTAGAAAAACTACCGCTTTTCTGAAACATCAATGTTAATTTTAGCTTGTACTGATATAAAATCCAACAAGCATAAGAATGATCAAGTAGTCTGAATACCTCTTCAATTTTGTAACAAGCTATTCACTGTGAATTTGAGTGTGAGAAACATATTAGTCAGGGATAAGTATTTAGTTCTCTTGTATTTGTGGTTTGATCTACAAACACCAGCTGGACTTTGGTAAGAGTTTACCAAAATCCAAGTCAGTCCCTCTGGTAACAGTTGACTTGAAATGAACTTGAACAAGGAAAACAGGAGCTTCACAGAATGTGGTCTTTATGGTCAGGAGCATGCAGTGTAGTGCTTAATTTGCCACTAGAGATGGAGAAGAATATTAGGGATTAATTCAGTGGAGTCAAGTCCTCATTTTTACTACATTCCTTTTTTAAAATGGCTAATCACAAACCAGTGTGATAGCTGAAAGTGTTAGGAGTCCCATCTGCCTAAAGACAGATTGACTTAATCTTTGTGCTTGTATCATGCTTCCATATGCAAACTTCATGGGCTTACAAAAATCTTGCAAAGCACATGCTTGTATGTAATCGGCATATCATCATTGCCTGAAGTAATATGAATCTATAGATATGATTGAAGTAAATCAGTGTCACAGATAAAAGAACCAAGCTAGCACAGAGGTTAGATGTTCAGTAAGTAGCTGGAGTGGCTCTAGAGCTTCTTTCTTTAAAACCAAACAAAACCCAAACATGGCCCAGACAAACCAAGAGCAAACCCTCAGCTCAAACTTCCCTTGGTGCCAGGCGTGTCAATGGGTGAAGAACACCCATGTAACTGAGATGAGAACCCAGCTTTGTTGTGCTCTACTTAAGCCTCCAATTGATAGACACACAGTATAGCCCATTACACTGCAGTAACAAATGAAAGCCTTCCTTGCTTGCTGACCGTCTGGTTGCATTGTGGTGTTATCTGTTATCTATCTTTAATAACTAGTCTCTGTTGAAGTCTTTAGTTTTAATGAGAAATGAAACACCTCAGAACACCTGAATTATTCAGCTCACAGTTACAGGCAGTGGTACTTGAAAATATGGTGTGGTCTGACATGGCATTGTAATACAGGAACAACGGGGGGGTGGGGGCTGTCCTGTTAGGAGATGTATATGTTAAGTTCCTGCAATGTTGAGGGTCAGATCAAAATGTGTATTTTGTTAAAATGAACAAAAAGTCACAAATCTGAGACTCAAGGCATCGTCCCTCTGTGATTAATACTCAGTTCTTGCTAATCTTATACCCTTGTAGAAACTGTAGCCAGAAAAGGGAACTTCAGGGGAGCTTCTGCATCTTTAAGGAGACTGAAATGTATTTTGAGGGATTTAGCTGTTTAAAACCTAACTTTTGTTTTTGAGAGCTAACCTCTCTTGTGTCTGAAGGTGATCCTGATTTGGACAAAATAGCTGAAATAGCTTACAAGTCATCTTACTGGATCTGCATACGAGTTATAGGACATGGAGCTGCAACAAGAGGGCTTATATTCCCAATATGTTAGACCAAAAGGAGCCAAAAAGATTATACAGATGATGTATACATTTTATGTAAAGCAGATTGAGATGGAAAATCCAAGAGTGGCATTGTTGTGAAGGCTAACATGCTCTGCCTAAGTGGAAAATGATGATATTTGCATGTAGCTGGTAGAGGAAGGGGAGAGATGGTTACATCTGCCTCACCTTCTGCTAGTTGTGACTAAGTGGCATATAGTTCAAATGTGATGTATTCTGCTTTTTCACCTTCCTTACAAACGGTAAGGTCATGAAGAAAGCTGAGTGTGCTGTTCTTATCTAGGACAGAAATTCCTTGATCTGGTCTTGCTCTGCTATAGGAAAATTACAGATACTGGTTATCGCACAGTGCTACAAGGGAAAATAAATGTGTCAAAAGTAGTTAAGAAAAGCCCCAACGTTGACAAATCATAAGTAAGAGAATACTTACTTTCGTAACATACTCTACTTGAAGAAGTTTACAAACTATCACTTTATATGTGTCCCTACCCAGCAAATCTATTTTGACACTGCCTTGGCCTCAGGAAGCCACTGGAAAACACATGATAAATAAGAATTAGGTATCAAATGGGGTAAAAATGCATTGCTGTAGAGAGCACCCAACTATTTTTGGCTCAAAAATCATGTAGAATTTAGTGTTCACAAACTCTCAATTACATGTGTTAGTGGTGGCCTTGATGATCTTGAAGGTCTTTTCTAAGCTGTTTTGATTCTATGAGTCTATGTTTGCCAGTTAAATTGAGCAGCAGTGATCCAACAGTTAAGCTCTATGTGAAGTACAGAGCAGGAGAGTGCAGATTTCTCCCTGTTCAAAGATCCATTTTGCAGTAGGATTTACTTAGATGGAGTGACAGGGCCATAGTTAGACTCAGCATTAGATGTGAGTGGTCTTCTCTCTTCCCCAGCATCACACTTGATAATGTGCACTTGTACTGACGTAGCGTAGCTGTGTCTTCCATGTCATCTGGCCTCCTGGCTGTGGCTCGCCTTCCTTTGTTTTGTTGAAACCCGGGAAATGTTCTTTGCCACCTCCTCCCAGGATGAAAAATGGCCCTAAAACAACTCAAGGCCTTAACCTTGCACCCTGCAGTCTTGTCAGAACTAACTATGTCTGATATCTGATGTCAACTCAGGCTGGTAGAGCAGGGGGAAGTATGCGTTTATTTTTGGTCCCACTGGTGACCCATTTTCTCTGAGGCCTGTAATTTTTAATGTGAAAAAACTTAGGTTCTGATCCAAGAACTTAAAATCTTAAGAGAAGGTGATCACGAATGACAACTCTCTATGCTAGAACTCTAGGAACTGGCAAGGCTGACTCGTCTGCAGATGGCTGATCTTGGTGAGGGGTACTGCGTATGGCTCTGGAGAGGGGGGCAAGGGAAGGGAGCTGAGCTCTGTGTCAGGACAGTTAAAGCCTTTTTTACATAAATACAGGAATGCAGCAAGGACTGAAGCCAGTGGCACATTTTACTTCCATTTTCATGTTACCCTGAAGTGTCCTTAAAGGAACTAAGATGCAAACAAAAGCATCTTTGACCGGAAGGTCAAATAGTCTGATAAGTTACTTCCCAGAGAAAAATGGGAAAATGGCCCAGGATTTGCATTCTGTGTGCGATACATAGATGTGAGTCTTCAAAAGAAACTCCTGTATTGGAGAGATTACTGAAAGTAAAGTTTTAAGAAGTGTGGTCTGCTGGTGGATGAGTAAGAGAGGATGCAGGAGCAGCTTGGCACTGAAGATTAAAGGACGTTAACAAGCATGTTTCCTGTGTTTCTCCAGAGGTACAGCTGGTAGAGATGGAGTGACTGATTCCATCCTTTATAGCAAAGAACTTACTTGGAGAACAGAGGGGATTTTGCCTCTCATATGGAGGATGTAACGGAAGCTACTGTTAGAGCATATCTGGAAGGATTAACTGTTGTTACAAAAATGAATGCAGTGTTTAATGTTCTCAAGACAGCAGTGCAAAAATCCTCCACACCAGGGTATCTGACACTCTGTAAAGCAGCTCAGAATTGGAGGTTAAAAATGATTTGGTTTACAGGCCCACAACTTGCTCCCTTTTTTTTTTGGTAAATGCCCCATCCTTGGCAGTGTTCAAAGCCAGGCTGGACAAAGCCTTGGGGGGCATGATCTAGTGTGAGGCATCCCTGCCCATGGCAGGGGGTTGAAACTGGACGATCTTAGGGTCCTTTCCAACCCTAACCATTCTGCGATTCTCTTCTTTCTTTATTGCAGCCTGTAGAAAATACAGTTGTTAGGTTCTTCTTGGTGCTTCTTTAACCTGTTCTTTTTCCAAATCTAATGCTAACAATTCACTTGCGATGCTTTCCAGATTTATGGTCCCTTGAGTATATGCCCTGATTCATGTTATAAATCTTCCAGCAGCCTGTGCTCTGCACATGCTCCCATCTTTGTAGTTCCTCATGGCAGTTTGTCTGCTTACATCTTTTCTTTCTGAGAGGTTGGGAACAGTAGTTTGTTTTCTGCTCTCCGGAATCTCTCTGAGATTTCTCAGGCTATTTTCTTGTCTCTATTTTCTGCATGACAAGCCTTTATGGTTTTTAAAGGTACTTCTGTTTTTTTGGTGTCATCAGCACATGATGTATCTTCCTAATCCTTTTTTTTTTCTCTGACCATATGGCATCTGTGACTTCAGTTTGCTACAACGAAAGCAAGCAGAGAGAACTGACTGAATCTGTCAGGACGAATGAGCAGCTTTTTACTTTCCAGTCTTTGCCCCAGACAGAGGTTCAAAAGCCTTCAAAAACTTGCTGTTTCTGAATTCCAGAAACAAAGCTCTCAGTTGGTTTGGTGTTTACAGCTTTGGACCTGGATTTCATTATGGTTATCCATGCCTCTGTGACTTGTGCACTACTTGAATGCCTGCAGTGCATTCCTGCCTCGCAGCTATGCTCGCAGGCTGCTCTAATGCTGCAGCACAGTCGGAATGCAAATACCTGCCACTGTGAACTGGTACCGTATGAGAATGCCAGTCGCTCATCCTGTCTTGAAGTGTGCCCAGTGACACAACCCAAGATCTTCTGAAGTCTCTCAGGGGGTTTACGACCAAAACCTGGCTTGAGTCTTGCAGCCAGATCCAGGGATCAAATCCAGCCTGTGTGAGTTAAGAATCTTCCAGACTGTGCAGCTCCCTTGCAGCAAACTGTGTGCTGTTTAGCATAGCTTTTTAAAGTAACTGAATGTAACACGTGTGTTTGTTTATGACTCTGTTACATCCCCACCTCAGTAATAGCATGTTTTTCCTTCTTACAGGCAGGAATAACCTTATTTTCCTGTGGTTTTGGTTGTGGGTTTTTTTTGGAGGTGAGTGGAAGAATTCCTCTCCAGAATTTAATTCTCTGCTCCAGCAACCCTTGACTTCAGTCAATCACCTGACACTACAATGGTAGCAGTATCTGTATCTGCCAGTTAATAAGCACATTAAAATGTATTTGTACAATGATCAGTAGTGACATCCCTGTTAGTATTTAGGTGACGCTGAGAAGACATAGGTACAGGGGGGTATTCCATCAAAAAACATGTAAACTTCAAAGAAATGCTTAAAAGGGGCCACAAGTTGAGAGTTTATTAATCTTTTGCCTGTTTTGCATTTCTAATAGTAAAATGACAAATGGTATCTAGAGAAAGCTTATAAAGTTCAGAGATTGGGAGGAATTGCTTCCAGAAATGGGAAACACTTTTTATTCTTAAGTCAAAACCAAAACCCAGTTGTGAAACTTCTGAGCTTCAGCGTTACTGACCAAATGAAACAAGTTTCTACTGCTTAGTTGCTTCCTTCTTTTTGTTTGCAGTAATGGCACATATACATGTGTGTTACTTTATACTAGAGAGGATCCCTCAGAGCCTCGGGCTGGATGACAGACAGCAGGCCTCTGAAGATCCATGAGGGGTATTTCATTGTACACACTTCCACAACTTGGGTTGTCCATGGAAAGGCCAGGAAATGAGGAAGAGGGGTGGGTCTTTCCTAGGAGCTCATTCAGCAAACACTAAACGACAGCTTCCTAAGCTTTACGGCAGTCACTGTGACAAAGAATGCTTTGTAGCGCCTGCTTCCCCATGTGCGGTCCCTTTCTGCAGTATAAATTGCCTAATTCATCAGTTGTCTGATGTAATTTCTGCTGTCCCTCAGTTTGATGCATCAGACTTGAGAACGTTACTCCAAATTGTACAGTGTGTGAATATAATTAAGATAACAAATTATACAAAAATTCATTATAATTCATGGTTTTCATCTTGGAATCATTAAAAAAAGGCTTTTTTTTTTTTTGCTGTTGGATTGTTAAAGTGAAAATGTAACTTCAATTATGGCCTAAAAATTACCCTTTCTCTACCTGAGGATGCTGGAGCAAAGTTTTGCTGCGAGTAAGTTCAAGGGTATGCCCAGAGTTGTTTGCATAAGGTAAAAGATACCCACCCGAGGCTTACTGAAGCTGGTAGTACTTCAGAACAACTCAAGCTGACTTCATAGTGATTAGAGTGCAAGTGTCAGATTTAACCCAGTAATGAAAACAACATAGAAAACCACCCAGACTTGGAAACACTT